CTATTCTGACTAACAGTGGTTCTGCAGGGTTTCGGGCAGAGGATAAACCCCAACCTATCTGAAGTACTAGGGATAGAACCTGGGACCTTCTGAGTCCAAAGCAGATGCTCTTGCACTAAGCTGTGGCCCTTTCCACAGGTGGGGGCTTGCTGAGGACAGACTGAGATTGGTGGGCCTTTGCCCCACTCACCCTAATGGACCAGGTTCCAATTGAAATGATGTAAAATTGTTATCTATGAATTATTCAGAATAGCAGACCCTGCAAATTAAGACTTGTGATGGACATTCCTCCCTAACTGAGAATGATTGGAGGGGTAGTTTTCTCTTCAGTGCCCACCAGTTCTTGGGAAGTGGGACCGACCTCCAATTTCATGCCATTTTGCCCATCGTACCATTGCTGCTGAGGCATACCAGCAACTGGTCAATGGCAAAAATGTGCTAATAGGTATTGTTCAGAGCCTGGCTCTGCACATTTAAATAACTAAATGTAAATGCTGGAGTCACTTGTTACCTAAAACAAGCTGACATCAAATAATCAAAACCACTTAACACTACAGCGCCAAGTGACAGCATCCAAAAATGTCAAAATGAGGGTGCTGACATGTCCTGCTCATTACAATTTGCAAAATGGATGCTGCCAGGTTGGGTGTTGAGTGCAAGATCCCAGCCCCTTCCCACTCTCATAGATCTTGTCAACGTCATGCTATTTTTGCAGCTCTTTAAGCATGAAATGTAGGGCTGTATTTATACTGGTGTTTTTTAAAAAAAGGAAAGGGGGGAAAGAAAATTTATATCTATAGATGAAAAAAAGGAAGAGGACTTGCAGGAGGGTATTTTTTTCTGTTTTGGCACAGGATATCTGGAAGACACCAGGATAGTGAAGGCTGTGCAGAATGAAACTTAGTTATATCCAACAGTCTTCACACTTCCTGAATGCCCATTCCAAACTCATTTCCTTCAATACCACAGCTTCTTTCTTTTCCCCTAAGTGTTGTTCCCATGTTGGCACTTCAAGTGGCAGCAGTTGCAACTGTGTTAGCAGCCTGGCCCCCCATCTGACATCCCCTACATTGCCTAAGACCTAGGACCTTTTCAGGGTATTGTCGCAGGGAACTGACAGCTACTGCGAACACAAAATGGTGGCTGGAGATTGTATATACCAATTTCCCCCTGTATGCCTGCTGCTCAAGCTATCAGTTTTGTTGTTGTTGCCAACACACGCATCATGTGTGCTCAAGTGGGAGATATCAGCTGAGTCACACCAAGGTTTGCAGAAGTACAAGCATTAAAGTGGGTGTGGGGGAAAATAAATGGAACCACAAAAACTGTCCAATTAAGACTGAGCATGCTCAGTGGCCACAGAACGTTGGCTGGCTGTTGGGGAGAAGATTCCTGCATTGCAGAGGGTTGGACTACATGACCCAACTTTACAATTCTTTAAATCTAAGTGACTTTAACCTAGCACTGCATTGGATATAAACTATTGGCACTTTAATTTTGGGGGTGTGGGAGCACACTTGGCAGGACATATAGCCTGCTTCATGGCTAACTGACCAACCTATTTGCTGGGAGTACTTCCGGAACATGAAAATAAAAGACTCGTAACAAATCATGATGAACAACAGGAGAGGAAGTTTTGCTCATGCAATATGTCAGAACATCTGGGGAGGCTGCACCACTGCTTTCAAGAAGCATTTCATTCTGATCCTTCTCATTAATTCAGTCAAACTTCACAGAGCTCTGCACTTGGTTAAACTTTGTTCTGCCCATTAATCTGTGCCCGATGAATCTTCAATACAGGTGCACTTCGGTTAGTAATCACACTGTTCTATTTCACATGCAGATTAGTCTTACCCAAATCTGCATAAATTTGTTATGCATCACAGCAGAAATGAATGCTCAAGCAACTTTTATTTTTATCTAATCAAGGAACTGCTTAATGAAAAATGAGCAACCGAGCTCATGAGATGCACCAAGAATGGACTCAGGGGACTTTTCCTACCTCAGGGGGACAACAAACAACCATCTCCAGCGTTGAACTTTAAGGATGAAAATCCACAACGGTGAGACCTTTTTTCTTCTTCTTCTTCTTTTTGCCCTTATGGACAATGGGCTATTGTAGAGAGTATCTTGTTGCACTTACTTGTAACTACTGTTCTTTGCATGGTTTTCTCTACAGTCACCCCACATGTGAAGTCCAGAATGGGGGGGGGGGCGTGAGCAACTGCAGGAATAATGTACTTTGTCCTTGACTGAAAAGGCCAGCCCCTCAGTTTCCCAATTCCTCTCCAACATTGAAGAAGCATGCCAAAGTATTGCCCAAACTGCCTCCCCCAATTTGGTGTGCTCCTGATCTTCTGGACTCTGACTGCCCTCTGACTGCCATCAGCCCCAGCCAGCAAAGCCACTGGTCAGGGACAATGGAAGTTGTACTCCAACAATCACTAAGGTGTACCAGGTTGATGAAGCAGATCTCTCACGTGCTGATCTCAAACTCAGAGCCATCATCAAGAGAGGAAGAATGTTGGAATTTGCTGGAAATCTTGACCTTGAGGGCTTTTCCATATATATTTCTAGTTCCCACCTTGATCCTTGCTCTCTATGAGAAGCAAGTTGTTGTTGTTGTTGTTGTTGTTGTTGTTGTTGTTGTTTTGTACTAGTTCCAAACTTTGGAATACATTCGCCCTGGAAATTAGGGTGGTACTGACAATTCATTCTTTTAGGTACCTCCTAAATTACCTTTTTTTTCAACCAGGCTCTTTTTTCAGGGTAAGATTGTGGATATTATTTATTGATATGTTATGTAAATAGGTTTTATACTTTGATGCTAAGTGGGCATATGTTGTAAGCCACTTAAGTGCAGTTCACTGTAGAAAGGTGGCATATAAGTAGACAAACTTACTGTTTTAACCTTGGATTTGATTGGCACTTATTCTTAGTACACAGCCACAATATTTTTCAAATATCAGGCAGTTGATAAATACCTATTTAAAGGAGCAAGACCAGGTTGCTGATTTGCAAAGAACTACAAAGAATGAATGGCCTCTGCCTGTTGTACCAGACAGTACTTAAGTTCTTACAGAGTAAGCACTGAGCTTCAGTGGACATTGTCATAGGGAACAGTTGTAGCTAAATGGAAGAGCTTTGTATGTAGAAGGTCCCAAGTTCAATCCCCACCTTCTCCAGGTAGAACTGGTAGAAGCCCCTGCCTGGAACCCTAATGAAATGCTGCCAGTCAATGTAGACAATACTGAGTTAAATGGACCAATGGTCTGATGCAGAATAGGGCAATTCCCTATTATTAGGATATCCATAGCAAAAGCACATAGCCAGGATGGAGTTCTACCATGGTGCGGACAGTAATAGACAGTCATTAGTGAATGGGCTAATGTGCACATTCTGGTGTAGCCCAATGCTTCTTCTGCAGTTCCACATTGACACAATCTGACTGGCTTCACAGTCAGCAATGCTTTTGAATACCAGTTACTGAAAACCACAGGAGTGGAGAGTGCTGTTGTGTTGAGGTCCTGCTGGCATCTGGTTCACCACTGTGAGAAGACTGAACTAGAGGGGCTATTATTCTGATCCAGCATGGTCTTACAGCTCCAAAGCTTCAAAGCAGTGAGACTGGGCCCACAGCAGACCTGCTTGTTGCACCTAGCTTGATCTCATTGGATTTGTTTAAAATTTAACTTTGGATACCCACCCCCCTTCAGTTGCTTCAAATTTGTTTGCACAGGCAAAGCAGAACTGGAAGGTAATGTACTGTAAGTCAACAAACTATGGGAAACTTAAGGGCCCTGGGCTTATTTCTCATTCATCATAAGTGATCATGTAAGCAAAGATAGGTTTCTTCTCTATCTTGGGTTGAGTTCACCATTCCACAGAGAATTGTAGGGTAGCTTCTTACATCCTTTCATTTCCTGACAACTGATTACTTCAAACTGAATGTCTGAACTTACTCCATTCAAAAGCACTGCATTTCAACTACCATCAGGTCACTACTTGATGCTGCAATCAATGAGTAAATTGAACCTGCATGTATAATAAAAGACAGCCCATAGTCAGGGTGACAGAGTTACCAAGACTGTATGACTAAACAACCTAGATTCCCTGAGTGTTTTGCTTTTCAGTCAGGGGTTGTCTTCAAGTTGAAAAATGCCTTTTAAAAGCATAATGCCAGCCTGCCTCTCCTGCTACAGAGAGACTGGCATTCCTGGAAAATGTCTCTCTGAACCTCGTAACTTAATATGCTCTTATCCTACCATTTGTTTGATGGCAGGAAGCCTGTTTTATGGAGATGCATCCATTCCAGATGTTAGAATCATAGAATTACACTCTGGAGACTAAAGTCCCATCCCCCACCACCACCCGTCCGTCAAGCTCCTGGTAGATTTCCAAGTTCAGCAAGCCATCTCTTACTGCATATAACTTATATGTAATTGCAGCAAGATGAGAAAACCAGAAGTATTCTTCTGGGTGCAATCCCCTTCAGGCCAACCCAACAAGATGGAGGGCGACCTTGGAATTTCAAAGGACAGCCGGGTTCATTGCAAACAATTTTGTTAAATATCAAGTATTTGTTGGTACAGAGGATACAGTCCACAAGGCGGATTCCAGGGAGTGCCAATGAGGCTGTCAATCTCACTCGGTGTCCGTCTGAATTTACAGCTAATTGAGAGGGTTATATTCCCCAGATTGCTATGACCCAATCAGCATTCCTGGAATGACCAGTATGCTTCCATATATTCTCCGGCCACGTACAACCTAATGGCATTTGTTGCAGCTAAAGCAATTCCTTGTCCGAGATGCTGAATGCTGGAGAGCCACGCACAAGGGCATTCAACTGGACCTGGCTGCTTAATAACCCTGGGGTCAGAACTGCAGATGTCTACATTAGCACAAGATTCAGAGGGCAGCAGATGGTTAGGAAGCCCTTACTGGGAAAGCTCTAACAGTATCCAGAAAGTTTGTTTTTATTTTATTTTTTTATTTTTTTTAAAACACAACCACAGCAAGAAGCTTTAAAAGAAAAGAAAAAAGTGTAAACGATGTTCAACATATGGTAAGCCTGACTGAATATTGGAGACAAAAATCAAATTATTACAGTGAGATTGAAGAAAACCAAAAACCAATTAAAAAAGCACAAGCAAGCTTTATGATAAATAATGGAATGCACTCATAGGAAATAATGCCAGTTCTATTTGAAAGTGAAACAGGAGGAGAGAGACAAATTGGAAAGCATTCATAAGTGGGTAGATACAAATCCCATTACCATTTAAAACTCACAGCCCTGGAAGTACACCTGAACAAGATGAGTGACATTTCTAGGTATTCATCACAAATTAAAAAATAGTGCCCTGAATACAAAAGAGGAGGGAGACGCATGTTTACTTAATAAAACTGTGACTACAAGCTGTAAAGTTGCAAGGGCCGTGGACCATCACAGCTTAATTATGAGTTATTGTTACCCCTGCCCAGGCTGTAATACTTCAGGCAGCAATGAAGAGGTTGCTTTTGTGTGTGGCAAGGGATTATTTGGTCTCGCAAAATAACACCCAAACATTTGCTTTCCATAAAAGATAGGCCTGAGATCTGCAACAAATGGTTGCAGTGCTGCTGTTTAAGATTCCATCTCTTGCATTGCCCCCTTGGGTAAAAGGACCCCTGACTGTTAGGTCCAGTCACTGACGACTCTGGGGTTGCGGTGTTCATCTCGCTTTAGTGGCCGAGGCAGCCGGCGTTTGTCTGCCGACTGCTTCCAGGTCATGTGGCCCGCATGACTAAGGCACTTCTGGCAAACCAGAGCAGTGCACGGAAACACCGTTTACCTTCCTGCCGGAGGGGTACCTATTTATCTACTTGCACTTTGACGTGCTTTCGAACTGCTAGGTTGGCAGGAGCAGGGACCAAACAACGGGCGCTCACTCCATTGCGGGGATTCGAACCGCTGACCTTCTGATCGCCAAGCCCTAGGCTCTGTGGTTTAGACGACAGCTCCACCCGCGTCCCTGCCCCCTTGGATACTTACCTGTTAATTTTATTTTCATTTGTATGTATTACAAATAAATATTATATAAATATGTAATAAAACAAATGAAGCTCTTAAATCTCTGGGTTTGTAAGCTTTAGACTGTCTTGTACCCATCTGTATGTGTTTTATGCCATGGTTACTTTGTTGTCGTTTTTATTGAGTTTCATTTTAATTTTATTGTACACTGCTTTGGCAGCCCATAAACCTGAAGAGAAGAACAGCTGTAGACATAACACTGGGAAGGCCAGTAGTGGTACATTTTTGTGGGTAGGGTTTGGTATTCTTGCTGCAAATCTTAAAAATTTTGCTTATTAGATGCTTATTGCTGCATATCAATGCTTTGGTTGTTGTGGATTGTATGCTCTGATTTCATTATGTGATCCACCTAGGATTATTTGAGTGAAGGAGGGTGGGATAGGAATCCACACAAGTAAGCAAAACTGATTATAACTGATGACAACGCAGAGCACCCTCTCAGTATTATGTTAGTACTCCATGCTTGCTCACTTTTACAAGTGGAAGATAATGTGTACAGGCTTTCCAATGCAGGTGTCTCTGTGCCAATAAGCAAACGTCCAAGGGGCATGTTCAGTGAAAATATTAGATACATACATACATAATTTTATTTGTATGCCACCTTTCCAGAGTTCAAACCATGCCCAAGGGGGCTTTCAACATGAAAAAATATGTAACTACAACACAGCAAAAGCAGTCATAAACAATAAATAATACATAAATAAATACATAGCCAAACTGAACAATTTCCACATAAATCACAACAAGATCTAAAATAAGGTTGAAAAGAAGCAACAGCCCCCTCCAAAACAAAATACCCCAAACACCCCAACATTAGTATCAGCATGATCCCGCTGCTCCTTTTCTCTGCACATAGAAGCTACACATGCAGAATGCCTGGATAATTGCAGTGTTTTGAGAACCTCCACAAATCAGAGGATGCACCACTCAGAACAATAGGAAACAGATTGGTTCAAGCACACATGATCATACCTTGATGTCTGCAACAAGTAACATGTGTGGGTTTTAAATATCACTGTAATATTTATGTTTCACCTACCCTCCAAGGCACACAAGGCAAAGTACTTGGCACTTCTTCTCTTTCCCTCAACCTCTTTTACCCTCAAGTGCTTTGATTCCTTTAACAGGTGTGCAAGTGTGTGGCCCAAGGTCAGCCAGTGAGTTTCATAGTTAGGTGAGGATCTAGGGTCTTGCTGTCTTAAAACCTTTAACCAGCACACCACACTGGGTCTGAGCCATCACAAATCTTGCACCTTTCACATTGCTTCCTATCACTTCAAAGCACAACGCTATTCCACAGAGTCCATTTACACATTTAACTGCCAGTCATCAGCTGCTAAAGGAATCATAGCACAGAGAAATCAAGGAATGTAAATGTGTGTTTGGCTGAACCAGCTTTGTAAATGTTAGAGCAGACTTTTTCAACCTGGTAGCTTCCATTTGTCATTGGATTACAACTCAATTTATCCCTGACCATTGGCCATGCTGGCCAGATCTGGTGGGAGTTCTAGTAAAACCTATATCTGAAGGGCATCAAGTTGGGAAAAGCTGTGCTAAGGGAACTGGAGTTGCTTGCTCATAAACCTAACTCCCTGCAAGTAGCTGCAGCAGTTAACTCCAAACCAACCAAACCAAGACAGCTGAGAGTGACGAGGTTGTAGCAGAACATTCACCATCTGCTTCTAGTGGGGAGGTTGGGGCTCAAGCTACAGAGCACTCCCAACTGCCTGCCCCTCAAAGTCTTTCAGTAATGCCAATAACAAAATGTGGCAGGAGTCAGCTTACATTGCACGAGGTCAGTGTGTTTGATTAACTTCCCCTGACAAGAGAAATGACAAGGGCTGCCTCAGATCACTTGCAGGGTTTAAAGGGAATCTGCACTCTCTCTCCCTCTTTCTTGCAGCAGGTAGCAAAAGGAACACATTAACTAAAATTAAAACACATGACTGTTCTGCTGCATCCTGAAAAACAGTTTGAGTTGTACCATACAGCCACAATAGTGATGTCCACCAAAGACAGGAGAAGATGGTGACCCAAGCCGGTTGGAGACTGGTAGGCCCAAGGGTTCTGAATTAGAAGGGAAATCTAGACAAGACCAGGACCCTGGACAAAGCCACTGAGTCAGGACCATGGTTAGCAGCCTTGCTGCTAAGGCGCTGTCACAGCACTGTCCTGGAGCAACATAAAGAGATTTATAGTGTAAGGTATGTAGTGTAAGGTATAAAGCCCTCTGCCCAAGTGCTGCATCTATTGAATCAAAAGTGACCATGCATCTTCTGCAGCCACTGGCTTCTTCTAAACCAGGTGCAGCCAATGTTGTGCATCCAGTTGTTGGACACAAATTCCCACCAAGTCAGTGATGTCACCACTATCAACCACTAAGACAAATTCACCCGTAAGATGCTGCAATGCTCAGTCTTTGGAGCTTATCAAAAAGGTAATAAACAGACTAAGCAAGGAAAATGACAGCAGTGTGTTAAGCAAAGCCCTGATAGCAATGAGGAAGCAGAGGCCCTGCAGATAAAGTTGGACTGCAACTTCAATCATCCTGACCATTAGCCATGATTTCTGAGGTTGATGGGGCTGAAGTTGAACAATATCCAGAGGACCACAAGTTCCCAGTCCTTTCCCAAGCATTGATTTATAAAAAGGTCATGCATTCACTATCCTATGATAACCATCCAGATTGTGTACCTCTGGACCGTTGCAAGTAATGCAAGAAAATAAACTTGGAAAACTAATTTAATGCTTGCCAGGATTGCTACAATTGCTGCTGCTCACTAAAATGATTTGAGCATAGATATCTTTATCACAGTTACATTTATCCTTGTCCTGCCTTTGCTTTTCATGTAATAGGCAATGAATAGCAATAACCTGCCAAGCTATTCATCTCAATTTGCATATGGTAACACTTGCTTCTAATCAGGTTTCTGCCCGCAGTTAATACAGTGGCCAACGTCACACCCATTTGAAAGAGAATGCCAAGTGGGCAATCAATATTTTCTTGTGCTTGCAGAAGAAGTGAGGCCTTTGACACCAATTGCCTGAGTTGCTGAAGTAGCACAAAATTTTCACACATTCTGGGTGCTTATAGAACAAAGCTCTCGGTATCAAGTATGAGGGAAGGGAAAGCTGTCAGTCCAGCTGGAATTAAAGCCTAAAACTAAGGCCAGGAATAGCTTTGTGGGGCAAGTTGAAGACTGGTATCACGGAAGCATAGAATCCAGAAGCACGAGAGCTAAAGGGAAGAAAGAGTAGCCAATTGATTGAGCAACAATAAACCTACAGGACATGGTTTTCACCGCTCGACAGCTTCAAGAAAAATGCAGAGAGCAAAACCAACCACTGCATATGGCGTTTTTGATCTGACTAAGAACTTCCACATTGTAAATCGTAACGCCCTGTGACCTGTCCTTCTGAAAATTGGCTGCCCAGATAAATTTGTGAACATCCTTCAACTCCTCCATGATTATATGACAGCAGCAATCGCAGATAACAATGGCTTTCAAAGTGAACCATTCACAGTGGGATCAGGTGTTAAACACAGTTGTGTTATCGCCCTGACTCTATTTATTATTCTCATTGCCATGATCCTACACTTTGTCAAAGGGAAACTCCCCACTGGAGTAGAAATCATATATCGAACTGATGAAAAGTACTTTAATCTGAGTAGGCTGAAAGCAAAGAGTAAGTTTACCGTAACTTCTGTCATAGAGCTTCAGTATACTGATGACAATGTAGTGTGTGCACACTCAGAGGATAACCTCCAAACCATCCTAAATCTATTTGTAGAAGCTTACAAAAAGCTTGGCCTATCACTCAACATCCCAAAAAAACCCAAAGTGCTGCACCAATAAGCACAAAACAACCCCTTTTGTGGCAGTGCCACAAATCCAACTCGATGGTGTAACTTTGGAAAGTGTCGATCACTTCTCCTACCTGGGCAGTTATCTTTTCACAAGGGCCGACACTGATGCTGAAATCTAGCATTGCCTGAGATCTGCAAGTGCAACTTTCTCCCAATTGAAGTCCAGAGTGTTTGAGGACCGGGACACTCGCAATAAAACTTAAATGTTTGTTTACAAAGCTACTGTACTACCATCTTTACTGTATGCTTGTGAAACATGAACCACTTATAAATGCTATCTCCAACTACTTGAAAGATTCCATCAATGGTGTCTCTGGAAAATTTTACACATCACTTGGGAAGACAGGCGAACTAATGCCAGTGTACTGGGAGAAGCAAAGATCGCCAGTGTCAAAGCAATGATTCTTCAACATCAACTTCGTTGGACTGGTCATGTTGTACGGATGCCTGATAATTGTCTTCCAAAGCAACTACTCTTTTCCAAACTTAAAAATGGAAAATGTAATGCTGGTGGTCAACAAAAGAGGTTTAAAGACTCTCTCAAGGCAAATCTTTAAAAATGTAGTATAAATGCCAACAACCAGGAAACACTGGCCTGCAAGTGCTCCAATGGAGAACAGCCTTTACCAAAGGTGTCATGGACTTTGAAGACACTTGAATTCAGGACAAAAGGGAGAAACATGCTAAGAGGAAGGCACATTTGGCAAACCCTCACTGTGATCAACTCCCACCCAGGAACCTATGTCCCCACTGTGGAAGGACATGTGGATCCAGAACTGCCCTCCAAAGTCACTTACATACTCACTGTTAAGGTCATGTTCATGGAAGACAATCTTACTCGGCTATGAGTGATCGACAAAGCTGTGAGCCCCTACATTGTTGGCTCAGGTTGTATACATGTGTAAATAAACCACAGATCATTGAGACACCACAGTCTCTGCTGTTCCTTATTCCAAGGAAATTGAAACCTATGCCTGGGAATCCTTAAAATTCCGCACCATTCAGAGATTGGTATGGCATGCAGCACTATATACAGCACTAAGGCCACATATTTAGCACCTGCTGTTTTCAAGTTCCTTTTTTAAAAATGCATTATCTGAATGGGTGTGCTAACAATCCCAAGCTGCTGACTAATTAAGTTTAGGTATATCCTCCAAAGCTGCTTGTTTTGCACACTAATTGAATTTACAAGCAGTCAAGGCTGGCAGGTTCCACAATATCTGCCAGCTCCCTTTCACAACCATTTTAAAATGATAGAAGACCAGTCAGCATGTCACTCCCTGGGAATATGCAACACATTGATGACATTTCCCCCCCAATCAAGCAATAGCAGATGGACCAGTTTGCATTCTGTCTGAACTGTCTGTCCCAGATTTTTGGCAAAGATGTTTATTTCTCCTGATAGATGAAAGTCATCTATAAGATGCTTTAAATCAGGGAGTGGGAGACCTCAGACCTGTAGGCCAAACGTGGTCCCCCAGGCCTCTCAATTTGGTCCTTGGCACACTTCTGAGCCCACACCTCCTTCCAAGGCCACATCTCTTCTCCCTAAGCTTCAATCTTAGCTTGGAACTTATCTTAGAATGGAACAGGCTCTGTTCCAAGCCCTTTCAAGCACCCTGAACTGTGATAATGCTTCCTGCTTGCTGTCCTGCATGGATCTCTGCCTTTTGCATGGCTTGAATGAAACCTCCTGTGCATCCTGTACAAAGGTGCATCCATTGCCCTGCACTCTTTTTACTGCTGACTCTGCCCATCACTGGCATAAGGGATCAGACCTTCAGATGGCTGCTAATAAGCAAGTCTTCCAGCGTGCTTACTAGCTACCCTAAGTATCTTTGTTAACTCAGAAAGAAAGATAATTTCACCTTTCTGGTTCACCTCTTTTCCTGCCATTCAGTAAATAGCACAGGCCAAGCTCTCTACCGGAGCATTGCTATGCCCAAGCAATGAAGCACAGCTTGAAAACTGCAACGAAAGAGGGAGCCTGAGATTCTGGAGCTTCTATGACCCTTGCACTTTTCACATCAGTGCAAAGAGTGCCTTGCCTGCATTGTCAGATCTTTCATATCGTCAGCTTTTTTTACTGCTTTAGCAAGCCTTCAGCTGTTTACCCTCACTGGCTGGCTGGTTGGCATTGCAGTGTTTTTTTTCTATTTGGGGGGCCACAGAGACTGCAATTCTCTATCCATGCTCTGGATTTCAGGAGTTTTACAGCAGAACATACCTTTGCCTCCAGCTTCTAAGTTCTATCCAAAGGCTCCTCTAGCTACACGACAGACCATGCAGCTATCCAATGCAGGAGATGTGGAAGGAGCCATTTTTGATTGAGGATCTAGTTAGATGCATCTTTGCATTTAAAGTGCGTTTGAAGTGCAGGCTTCAAAATAAAATTTTCCATAATCACCTGTGAGAAACTTAGATCACAGCTTGCATGGGGGGGGGGGAGGTTTCACCCTTTCCTTTTGTGCTAAAATGCTGAGAAAAATGCCCCTTTTGAATTTGCCTTGTGTGCAGTGCACACAGCTCCTTTAAGATGTAAGGGGTGCTGCCCTACCACCTCAGCCTGTCCACACCTGCCTGCCTTTTTTTCCCACTTTCAACCAACCCAGACTATCTTCAATCAAACTCTTGCTCTCAGAACTCAGGAGGAGGAGGAAACAAGGAGTAGTTGCCTCCTGAAATCACTGGCTCTGGCTCCACTTACTGTTAGTCTCTCTGCCTCCCACCCAGCCAGTCCCAACATGGACCCATCACCACTGCTTGTGGCCGGGGGGGTGGCTTATTAACACCAACAGAAGACTTCCTCTTAGTACCAGTTTCAGATATTCCCTCAAAACACCAGGAGAGGGAAAAGTTAAAGCAACCTTCCACAGGAACCTAGGTAGCTGCCTTATGCTGTGTCAGTCCATCAGTCCATTTAGCTCAGAATTGACTACACTGACTGGCAGTAGCTCTCCATGGTTTCTGGGAGGGTTCTCTCCAAAACCTAACTGGGGATTAAATCTAGGACCTTCTGTGTACAACATTTTTCTTTTCCTTCCTTCCTTCCTTCCTTCCTTCCTTCCTTCCTTCCTTCCTCCCTTCCCTTCCCTTCCCTTCCTCCTCCCTCCATCCTCCTCTCTCTCATACACACATGCACTACAGTTGATGCAATTTACACTATAAAAAACAACAACACCCCTACACATTAAATTCTAATTCAGCCTTCAGTTTGGGACAGGCTAAAGAAACAACATCAAAAAAACGAAGATCATGGCCACTGGGCCCATCACCTCCTGGCAAATAGAAGGGGAAGAAATGGAGGCAGTGAGAGATTTTTACTTTCTTGGGCTCCATGATCACTGCAGATGGTGACAGCAGTCATGAAATTAAAAGATGCCTCCTCCTTGGGAGAAAGGCGATGGCAAACCTAGACAGCGTCTTAAAAAGCAGAGACATCACCTAGCCAACAAAGGTCCGTATAGTTAAAGCCATGGTTTTCCCAGTAGTGATGTATGGAAGTGAGAGCTGGACCATAAGTCCAGCTGATCGCCGAAGAATTGATGCTTTTGAATTATGGTGCTGGAGGAGACTCTTGAGAGTCCCATGGACTGCAAGAAGATCAAACACATCCATTCTGAAGGAAATCAGCCCTGAGTGCTCACTGGAAGGACAGATCGTGAAGCTGAGGCTCCAATACTTTGGCCACCTCATGAGAAGAGAAGACTCCTGGAAAAGACCCTGATGTTGGGAAAGATGGAGGGCACAAGGAGAAGGGGACAACAGAGGACGAGATGGTTGGACAGTGTTCTCGAAGCTACAAACATGAGTCTGACCAAACTGCGGGAGGCAGTGGAAGACAGGAGTGCCTGGCGTGCTCTGGTCCATGGGGTCACAAAGAGTCGGACACGACTAAACAACTAAACAACAAAGAAACAACAATGACATGCCTCCTGGATAAAATATAGACAGATTTTCCATTTCTTGAAACAGTTCCGTTTCTTGAAACACCATCTTCTTGGTGGAATAAGTTGACAAAAAAGGAAAATCCAAAGCTGGAAGTGGCTATCAGCGTACCTCTGGTGTGGTCTCTTTACTATATTTAAGGTGTTATGTACTGAGTTGAATAGGATCCAAAATGCAGCAGTCTGATTGGTCCTAGCACAATAGGATTCAGAATGCAGCAGTCTGATTGGTCCTAGAACAATAGGATCCAAAATGCAGCGGTCTGATTGGTCCACAGGAGACACCCAATCCAGCTCCAGGTGGAAGTGAATCTGCAACTTGATTGGCCTACAGGAGAATCCCGGAATTAGCCAATCACGTGGGGCCCATTGTGTAAATAATGTATATAAAGCAGACATTCTGGGGGAATTTCCATTCCTCCTCACCACTATGAGCTGAATAAGGAGCATGAAATCCACTCTCAACTCCGAGTATATTTCATAAGGAAACTTTGGCCCTCCGGATGTTTCTTAACTGTATTTCCCATCAACACCAGGCAGCGTAACCAATAGTTAAGGTTGATGGGAAATGTAGTCCAGCACAATCTGGAGAGCCGAAGGTTCACCACCTCAATATGCAATCCAGAGCCACTCTTTGGAATGGAAGCTTCTCCTCATGCATGATATCTAGGGGTTGGTTACTCAGGGATAAGCAACATGGCCCAGTGCCATGGAGTCAGCACCATCAGGCAACTGCTCATAGCCCAAGCCTTCATAAAGACCCACGACCACCAACTGTCCTGCCAACCCCAAGCAGACCCTCAAAGGACACATGGCATATAGTCAAATGCCAACTACAGCAATTCTTTCTATGTTAGGCAAAGGGGTGGGGGGGGACAACAGCCACACGTTTTTATTCCAGTATCAGTTTTTGTGAACTAGAGTCCATTTCATCAGATGCATAGAATGTGGTCCTCAGCTGACAGGTGAATGGACGGATGGATGGATGGATGGATGGATGGATACAGGGCTTTTTTTCAGCCGGAACTCACTGGAACTTAGTTCCGGCACCTCTCAGGTGGGCGCCATTGCCATTCTAAGAAAACAAGGGAGGCATTCATGGTGAGTTCCAGCACCTTGTTTTTCTAGAAAAATAGCACTGGATAGATGATAGATAGATAGATAGAGAGAGAGATGATAGATGATAGATAGATAGATAGATAGATAGATA